TGTCGTTGATTCTGTCGTTGTGGTCGGCCAAAAAAGAGACTGAGATGAAACTAGGTCGTCCTCTGTAGCTTTGCGGGATTTTTGCTCTCGGCCCATCCAAGCTTGCTCAGTCGAACAGTTTCCTCATCTGCTCATTGGAAACTGGTTTCTTATGGACTACGCCGGCAATTATCCCTGTTTTCCTGCGGCCTTTTACAAATGCATATGCTCTAATAATTTATTTGCCTGATCAGAGATAATGGAAAACGGTTTGTTGTGCGGCGGCGTGCAAAGGNAAGGAAATGATCAACCGGCGGCTCTAATGGATTTAATCAATGAACTTTTGCAATACGTGTCATCTTTCTTCCTCGCAGACGAGTAAAAACACTTCAACTTAACATTCAGTCCTTCTTTTGACCTTTCTTATATCGGTTTCGAAAATTTGGTGCCACCAGGACCAGCAAGCCATTCTGTTAAGGTAGACATTGTTTTTGTGACATAATCTTCATGAATGCGTAAAATCTCGCCGGTCATAGTTTGATTTTGCAACTTTAAAGGAAACTTAACGTATACGTACCGTTAAAAAAATCTTATCTCGAACTTTATGGCTTTTTTGTTGTTACTGGGACGGCATTGTCCATAATTTTCTGTATTTCCTGTGTAGATAGCTCACCGAATGTGCTTTTTTTTCATCAATTTTTTTTGTCGACGAAACTTCGCTTCACGCGAAAAAGCTCATGCCGAGTGACATTTCCCGCTTTCATTTCCATATAAGGTCAAACGCAGGTATAATGGCTGGTAACCGAGATCCAGTGAACCAATCCGAGAGCTAGAATTTTCCAAACCGATATAAGAAATGTCAAAAGAAGAACTGAATGTTTGTCTAAAGTGTTGTTACACGTCTACGAGGAGGGAAGATGGCAATTATTACAAAAGTGCATCCACGAAATCTATAAGAACCGCCATTGATCATTTCCCTCGCACATCGCCGCAACACAAACCGTTTTCCATCAGGCCTCAGGAAAACAGGCATTATTGCCAGCGTAGTCCATAAGAAACCAATTTCCAATGAGCAGATGAGGAAACTGTTCGACTTAACCGAGCTCGGATCGGTCAAGAGCAAACATCCCGCAAAACTACAGAGGACGACCTAGTTTTATCTCGGTTTCTTGTTTGGCCAAGAGGACGAGCAATTCAACGACAGCTAGCGCTCTTGCGAAAAACGCCTCAAGGAGATGAGTGTTTTGACCTGAACCGAAGTAAGCCCGGTTCTTTACCAGCCACGAAAATCCATCAGGGTGGCCTCGGAGATTCTGAATATGAATCTGACGCTCAAATAGTTTCTGTCCCTGACTCTGGATCTGACCAAGAATGGGCTCCACACGTACAGCTCGAGATGCCAAGGCTTTCAAAGCAAGGGAATCCTGAGAGAGGTATTGTCGGGAATAATTTGGGCACAACTTCTGTGTCACATGGCGATCAAAGTTTTCCGTAGCATTATTACAACGGCAATGTGCAAGTGCACAGTTATTCGGCTCTTCTTCATGACTCGAATTTGAACGCTTTTCAAAGCTTCTCCTTTATTCAATCTCCCACATTTGATAGACGTTCCTTGAATTCTACTTAATTGTTATTTCATTCAGCAAATTCGCTTCCTTCGCTTTCAAATGTTTCATTTAACTAAATTTACAAACGGCGCGCATGTCATGTGATTTCCCGCTTGTTGCTTTTGCCACATCGACTTCCGGCCGCTTATTAAAATTAAAATCCAAGAAAATTAAGCTATAATTTCCAAGTATACAA